ACAAGATCTGTTAACCTTCTTTCTACATTCGTATGTCTCATTTGTGTTTGATATAATTTCATTCGGATGTTCTTACTGAAAATATTGAAGCCTGCCTGGGTGGACCACTTCGGGGGCCGATTTTGAGTTTGTGTTTCTACACAAACTGTCTTATGTAACCTTGTTTATTTTTTCTTTCGTCAACTTCACACTTTCACTATAGTTGAAACCTTTTGTTCCTTTCTTTAAAGAGTTAATTGTTTTCTCTAAATGATTGGTGCTCTGGTTTGTGAGAACTAATTTGTTTTTTATGAACTGTTTCACATTCGTTTATATCTGCTTCTGTCTCAACGTTTCTTTACATTCTCCTACAGGTGTATGACTTTGGTTATGAGAAGCGACCCACTGAAGCCATCGGCGTCTACCACTTCCCCAGCATGGACAAAGCATTCCTGTTCTTCCAGATGGACCCCATCATCCGACAGCCTGATTTCCCTCCCCCGTACGGCCACGCAGAGATGTGGATCGTCAGTAATGCCTATCTCCCAGACAACATGAACCGTAAGAAGCTTTTTGCTTGTTTAATAATAACAAATTTAATAGAAATAACAATACACAAGAAGTACTGGAGCCAACCAATTACTTATTATACTGGAAACATCATAGTGGGAAGCGTGGTCGAGAAATACGCTTGAACTTGGGCTTGGCTACCTATGAAGGGGGCTCGAGGTTCGACACCCAACTCAGCATAATTTACTGAGCGCCTAAGGCAGCACGGAAAACCTTCTCCCAGATACCCCCTCCCCCACTGGTCCATCCACAAATGAGATTGGACCATAGCGCTCTAAGCATGCTATAAGCATGATTGTAGCGCTATATAAATGCAAAAGGCCTATTTTGACTGACTAAATGGTGGATTTTAATGGCCCTGATCTAGATCTAGGTCTACTGTTTACAAAAAAGAAAAACATTGACATCGACGTACCGCTATCTCATGATAAAAGAACTGAAATGGAAAAGCAAAGACAATATGGAAACCTAAACTTTGAGATTACGTGTTCATGGAAGTTGTCTAAAGTCTAAAATAACAATATACCATGTTATTATATCAACTGAGGGGATAGTGATCAAATAATTTGTCAGTTGACACATTTATATGGACTACAATGAATTTTGTTTCTTTCTAACGAACCTCGACCCTGGCCAGAGAATGAATTAGGTCGTTTTTTTTACATAATAAGAAAATAATAATACTAACAATAACAGTATTAAATGGTTGGGGGGGGGGGGGGATACGAATAGTTTTTTTTGAGACCCTGTTCTATATGTGGGCCGGATATTCCCTGTGAATGTTTGTAGTTATTGTTGAAATCGAATGTATGACCAAGTGTTTATGCGCTGTGTTTATTTTGTTCAGTGTTCAACACCTTCTTACTGTCAGAAGTTGAGCTTCACAGTGGCAAAGACAAGAGAGAATTTTTTGAGACATTTCAGGTAGATAAAGTTTCTGGTTTCTCAAGAAAATGTTTCCACATCATCTTTTGTTTCTACTTTAAGCATTCCATTTAATCTTGCAGTGCCCCGTTATAGTCTGAGTGTTAGCCCTAAGAGCACATAAAGATCTGCCTAAATCAACCAGAAAAACAATGACTTATCACAGAGTTTATATCTTTCATTAACATACAGGCCTTGATTAGCACAGGGATACGCGTAGGACGTAATTAAGTTCTGTTTTGAAGGAAGTCTTAATTTATAAGATAAGATAAGAAATACTGCTGAAATTTTCTTATATTTTCGTGAAGGTAAATCTTGTGATTTCCTCGTGGACTTGACATAGCGGACGTCTCAGCCTTTACTAAACATTTTCTTTTTAATCTTCGCGTCGTGCTCATAAGAAATGCGGTTGATGATTGAGTGTAAGATACCATCGTAAACTTTGCTTCACCTTCCGCCAGGGACCTGTCTGATAGAGACCTTTACTTTCTATTCGTCCAACAGAAGGCAGAGGCGTCGCAAGGGTTGGTGTCACTATGTGTGATTAGCTAATGGTTTGACCACCTCCAATACCAACACTTCCAAACAATAACTCCCCAGTACATTCTTTTTTGTTTGTTTCTTTTTTAAAATACAAGTAAGAGCTAACAGACTCAATTTATATAGTAGTAGTCCTCGACTTACGGCGGTGTTGCAGGCTCTGTTGCAGGCCACTGACGTAATTCGGCATACGTCGCAAAACCGGCTTACGTTTGGGAGCCATAATGAAGGGTCCTATGGCATGCAGGAGACTAGTTTTCCTACTGTAACGGTACAGTGTACAGTACTGGACTACCCTACTGTATAAATGTATTCCCCCGCCATTGCACGTAATTCGACATACGTCGCAAAACCGCGTAAGTCGGACTGAGCCGTTGTAAACAGCGTCGTAACCATGAAACGACGTAATTCGAGACCGTCGTAACCCGAGGACTACACTTGGTATAGAAATTTAAAATGTGAGAAGGTTTGTTGTTTATTATATTTTGTTTTTGATGTCAGACAATAAAAGGTGTTATCCGGTGCGGTCCGCATCCCTCGCACTCTTCTAATCACGCCACTGAAAGAATTATTATTTTCGCTAAACCTTTGTTTTTGAAGTGCAACTTTAACAACTTCTGTCTCGTATGCCTCCCTTTGAAAGCTGGCCAAAGACGTCGTTTGTTTTGTAAAACGTTTGAATGGCCCATCATAGTTGAAGATAATCTACATTCTAGTAACTAGTCCATACCTCCTACATGCCGACGGGATGAACGAATGACAGTGTGGCGCGCATACCACACGACCTTTATATCCTTAGTCTCATTCTTTTGTTTTATTTAAATCAATGTCTTCTTATTATTGAGTTTAAATATTTCAGATTATATTTCTAAATTTAAAACGAAACATATTTCAGAAACCGTTTGAGAGTTACCTGTACAAAAATGGCGCCATGCCGTTTGTCATCTGCTCCTACGGAAGCTACGACAGGAAGAGCCTAAGACGTCACTCCTACCCGCCAAACTCTGTAGTCACGTGTCATCTGTTCCAAGGATTGGATCACCTCAACTGGATCACCAACGATGGTCAGTCATTTACACCTGGTCTATTTACTTTGACAGGAAATGCATTGGGTTATCCTAAAGAGTGTGTGTCCAGGTTTTATAATTGTTATAAGTTAAAGGGAAACTCCGATAGTTTTGACAATTTTTTATATAATATGTGTTTTGATTTACAGATAATGATGGAATTATTCTTTTTGTTTATTTGCAATAATAACTTAGTAATTGTTTTTCTGACGTAATTTTCCTGAGCATCCAAAACAGTCAGACATTCACCGGGTTTCTATGTGACGTCACACTAGCCTACTAATTTAATATATTGACTTATTGTATAACGGGAGACCATGCAGCAAAATTTACATTCTCTTCTATGCAGTTAGATCTAGGATCGTGTAAGCAAAGAAAAAATGCGTATTAAAAGTAGATTTACATGCTTGACTAACCACGGCAGTCTGTACTTTCTCGCCAGACCACTCAACACACAACAAACACTATCGCTTGGTTGTCTTGTCCTGACCGACTACACGTAGTCTAGACTAGCCTTACACTGACCAGTTTGTTCGAATCAGTCAGACACACGATCTATTTACTTCTTGGGAAAGGAAAGGCTTAGATGAAAATGTTTCTTTTTTTTCTCCAGTTGGTTATCCTAATGCTTTTAGATCTACCCATACATGCATTTATAACTGTACCATAGCTCTGGAATAGGCCGTCACTAAGCCCAAGAGCCTGTAAGAATGAAGCGATACAATTGGTTAAATCAAGTTTTCTTTTCAGTATTGTTGAGGGAAGTGATGTATGCCTAACCTAAAAACAAAATCTCAAAGAACCCCGTTTGTTTGTTTTTTTGAGATGTCAAGAATTTACTGACTAATTTATTAAATATAAATGTTTCTAAGCATTTAAATAAAAAATGGTAAAATGTTTACTATTACAACTTTTTACGCAGAATTCAAATATGCCAATAACTCAAATTTGAAAAACCATTGGAGTTTCCCTTTAATAATAAAAAAAAATATTGATCTCAGTAAATGTGGACAGGAATGTCTCCACCAATAGGGTTGTACAGTCACATGAAAAAGTGTTCTACGAGATGAGCCATAGTTTTTCTACGAGATAATCAATATAGTCGTTTTACGAGATGAACTATAGTCTTTCTACGACATGAACCATAGTCTTTCTACGACATGAACCATTGTCTTTCTATGACATGAACCAATATAGTCGTTTTTTTTTAGATGAACCATTGTCTTTCTACGAATGAAGAAAGCCAACACAAAAGTATAGCATAAAAAGCTTATCTTGGATGACCACTGCGCTGGCTATTGGAGTTTTGTTGTTTTTTTTATAAGAAATTATAATGCATTAAACCTTGCCCATGTGATGAAACTATTTTAAGAACTGCAGCCACTGGATTTTTCAAGGTGGCTGAAAGTTAATGCGCTTGATTTCCAACCGAAGGGGTCTATGGTTCGAATCTCGGTGAAAGCAAGGAGGTTGAATTTCGGGATGTATAGGACACCCTGATTCTACCTAACATTAAAGCATAATTAATGGGAAAACTAAAGGCGGTTGGTCATTTTGCTGGCCACAAGACACCCTCGTTAAGGGATCGTAGAACCAGATGACGTTTAAATCATCATCGTCTTCATTGGGTACTTTACTTTTTTTTATTTTAGATAATTTAATGTACTTCATAAAATAAAATTATTGATCTTTTTTTTTTCTCCACAGAGACTTACTCGAAGTTTAGAAGCCTGCACAATCAATTGGCAACTGAGAAATGCACAATCTTCAATCTTGTCAAGGAGCCATTCCAGTGACAACTAAATGTTTGAATGTTTATAAAAAGCAAATCCACAAATACATGTAAACATATTAACCCTTTTTTAAAGTTTTAGATATTTAAAAACCTATCACTGGGCTATTTTTAATGCACAAAAATTTGAACAAAAAACAAACTTGACAATTTAGTCTAATGTATTTTTATGTATAGACCATTATTTGTTTATCTATGTACAACATTTGATTATTCATTTATTTATTTGTTTAAAAAATGTATTCGGTGAATGTGTAAATAGTATAAATATGAAGGCGATGTCCAACTGTAGGCTCTTTAAAGGTCTTCCGATGAAAAAGTATTATACTCCATAAACAGCTTTGTTGATCGCAAGTTATAAATTACTTCGATGTCAAATGTATTGAGTTTAATGACTATAAGGGAATACATCTTTTTTTAATGTATAAACTGAACTGTCTCAACCTCTTTAGAAGGTATGTAATACACACAACTGAAATATTTGTATCTATTAAGTATATTTTAAAATGGTCTCTTAAGTGGAACTGTATTCTCGTTCTTGTTGCTAGAGACTCACATCTGTCATCACTAAGAAACAAATGCATCAACATTTGCTTTGCAGTCTAAAGGGAAATAAAACTTCTGTGGTAAATACAACAAATGGCATTTTTTCCCTGACTAGATCTTATGGATTTTATTCACTTTTTATGTGACCATATCCTATTATTATTATTGATTTAGACAAATGTCTCCGAGGGTATCTGAGATATTGTCCAACCCTCACATTCCATTTTGAAATACAATTATGGGAGAATTTTAAATGTTTTAGGCGAGTACTTTGTAATTGTCTACAAATTGAACAATTTAATATTTAAAAACAGATAATCCTAATATGGTCTATTGTAGGGAGAAAATATTCTCTGTGATAATTACTTATTTATACAAAAGAAAAAACTTTACGCTTTTGCATTGAAATGTGATCAAATAAATTATATTTCATAAGAAAGAAAATCTTTTAGTGTTTATACTCTCTCTCTCTCTCTCTCTCTGTGTGTGTATGTGTGGGTTTTTGTTTGTTGTACGTCCCCACACATTTGTTATTCTGGTGAAGGAAAAGAAATAAATGCAAGACTTTCTCGCTTAACTTGAAAAAAGTGAAAACAACTCGGCATTGGGGGCATGTGGGTATCTCAATTTACGCGGCATCGGGGGCATGTGGGTATCTCAATTTACGCGGCATCGGGGGCATGTGGGTATCTAACTTTAAGCGGCATCGGGGGCATGTGGGTATCTAACTTTAAGCGGCATTGGGGGCATGTGGTTATCCAATCTTATTATATTACCTCATTCAGTCAGGAAGTAACTATGGGATGAGATGAATACATGGGCATCAGCTATGGTATGAGCGATGTCGCCCACAAAGCACTCCTCCCCCTCTCCAAGCAGCTGATGTATCAAAAAAAAAAGGCACGCGACGATACAGTTTGGGGTTAACGACGTCGGGGGCATAGCCAGGATGTGGCACTGTGTGCTGCGAACTGTTAAGGGGTCGCTGGCTACTGATTTTTCCTCATGGTTGACTTCCAAAGCATTTCCGGTTATTGGTTATAGCTGCAAGGCAGCAGAGGTTTTAATTCAGAGTTTTCCTTCTCCTAGGTGAATAGCCGAATCAGAAACACCATAGGTAGCGAACCATGATGATGCTGTGAAACCTAATGTCTTGCATGTACCTGTTCTCTCTCTACCAAATCCTTGTCATGGTTGACTTTCATGCAGAACTCGGCATTCATACAGAATGTGGTCTATTGTCTGGACGTCCTGGATGCAGTGGCGACACTGTGTCGTAGTGTTTTCTCGAAACCGTCAGATGTAAGCACCAATTGGACAGTGACCGACTAGGAATTGGCCTAAGGCGGCCTGTTCCGCACGATTGAGTTGCCACCACGCATCCTTTCTGTCTGATCTAGTCATCGAGTCCGTAAACAAGACCACGTCGTTGGCTGGCAACGTACTTTTCCTTCCACCCATTGCTTACAGTTCAGCCTCAAGGCTGCTTTTCCCCTGGCAGGGTCCTATGAGCTCGTCTCTTTCGGGGGTGCCAGAGAGTCGAACTACCGCTCCATACATAGCTCTAACAGTGCCCTCGAGCGTCTAGACGCACAGAGCAGTAGATGGTGGTCACTCCTGCTGGATACGATGCGATAGTCTCTCTGGCTGCATGTAGTGGCCATGTATTATCACTCTGCCTTGTTACCACTGGGTCAACTAGGCACTTCCGTATCGTCGGCATAAGGAGGAAGGAACCGGATGGGGAAAGAGCAACTCCACCGGCAGTTTCATCTTTATTACCAGCCCACGCGACACATGCATGAAACAGGGCTGGTTTTTGAGACATCTCTTGCCCTTCCAGTTGTCGACCAGATTTCTGAGTGGGCATCCTTCCTCCAGCCACATATATCTCTCGTGAGCTGGTATGACGGCTCGCTCTCTGCGCAACTTCAACGCGGCTCGTTCACCATAGTTTCACCAGCAACAATTACCGTTGTCCCAAGCGTTCCACAGATTAGTCGTATGGCACGATTCTGAACAGCATCTAGGCTTGCTAGAGTCGTTTGCGAAGCCCAGACCTGATCAGGTAGACTGTAGTCCATGTAAGCACATTATACAGCACATCTGCTCTCGCTCCCCACTTCGTTCCAGCTAGTTTTATTTAGCTTCTCGGAAGCTGTCTCTCGCACCTGCTCGATATGGTCGCACATAGTTGCTACCCCGAGGTACTTGAGCTTAGTTATTTTTTTATTATTCAGTAGAAGATTACATTGCCAAAAACGCATGAAACAAAACCATGTCTATACAACAATTATTGTTGAATGTGATACTACATCTAAGTGATTATTAAAACGTTGCAAAGTTACTGTCGACTAATAAAATTAATTCATGTTTCCTAATTAGTAAATACATTCCGTAATATTAATGAAAGAAAAACAAACATTCAACAAAAACAAAACATAATACACAATTCTATCTACAGAGCACTTTCACATTGTTATTGTTATTTTTTTTTTTTTAAACTAACACGTTAGAACCTAATGAAACGCTACTCTGGCAATGTCTTTAATAGATTGCATACATTAATCATTAGTTACAAGATTTACATTGATTTGTTATTTACAAACCTTATACTTTTAATGAAGAATACATATTTTGAAAATAAATCTAAAACCTACTTTCATTTTATAAAACCTAAACATGACAGCGAGATCTATTGACAAGATTTCTATTTTTACTAATTATAGATCTACACTATTATACAGAAAACTTTTCAACTTCAATTGGTAGGTACTATTTTTCTACATATAGCTTACATAGTTGAAACAAAAACAAAAACTTATTTATTTGATAAGGAGATCTAGGTCTAGAATATAGATCTGTACACAATCATTCTCCGCTTGCGTAAACCATATATCTCTGTCATCTATGTAGCCTTTAGAGAATACTTATACTAGAAATATCTAGATCTAGAAAGTCTAGATCTACTTATTAACTTGCACTTTATACATAATAATACTTTTAAAAAATACATTCTTCAATAGCAGTCTACACCAAGACAAATGCCCTGACCGCACAGATAACCTGGACTGGTACAAAATAAAGTCTATTCATTTCATACTTAAATCAAATATATGTAGGCCTACAAGCAAATGTTTTTATTTGAAAAAATGAATTTAGGTCGATTAGCTAATTTTATAGCTCCATTCATACTGTTTTTACATTCACGCATTCCGCATTCGTTTTACTTATAACATTCTTATTTCGTTTAATTGTTTCCAAAACACTCTTAGTGACTACATCGACAGTGATACGCAAATTAAGACCCGCGGGCCGCGGGTAACATATGGCTAGTATTCAAATAAAGTGAATAGCTGCTACCTAATGAGAGATTTGGATTTATTTATGGAAATCTCCTTATTACGTTTTGACAAAATCTAATTCTGTCGTATCAAATTGAAATATTGCATAATTAGAGTCGATGACAATACACGAATCAATTCAAAAATTTACCATAAATCAATTAATACTTAGTAATGTATTTTGTTATATATGGCAGAATTAGAGCTAAGCCCTTCCATTTTCAAATAAATGGTATTAATTAGCGGCTCTATCCATTACAGAAGCTTCGTTTAAAATAAAATCTGTTTTTCTTTTCCTAGTTTTGATAGATAGATAGATAGATGGATAGAGAGATAGATAGATAGATAGATAGATAGATAGATAGATAGATAGATAGATAGACAGACAGACAGACAAACAGATAGACAGACAGACAGATAGATAGCTAGATAGATAGATAGATAGATACATAGATACTATATATCTAAATCGACCACCTGCGGATAATGGTTATGCCATGTATGTGGCAAAGTAAGTAGGGCACAGCTGGGGCTGCGCAGCCAGGAGGAAATACTGCATTCCTCACTAATCTTCGAACTCAAAGACAAGCCTTATTAATATTCTAGTTAGAATACTATATATAGATAATTAGTATATAGAAAAGGCAATAGAAGAAGATCTAGATCTAAAGGACTATCATCACAATATTATGAAGTCTGGATGCTTTCACATTAGCTAAAAGAGATTATTTTTCTTGGGGGGGGGGGGGGGGGGGGGGGGGGGGGAAGAGGCGGGGGAAAAATGTTAATTTCAAAAAGTTGATTAGACCTATTTATTAGTTAAGAGAAAACTAAAGTCTCTATAAGTTGTATAGAGGAGATACTGTTTCACTCGCAGCACAGTGAACAGAAGTTTTGCCTCGTTTTTAAAGTTTACAATGTCCTTCTTGTTTAGAGTGTGTGTGTTTTGTGCTTTGTCCTCTTATGTAAGGCTTTGCCCTCCTTTTTGTCCTCCGTCGGTGTTGGAAACCCAGACAGGCTTTAAATAAAAGACGTTTCAGCTTCTGTGGGGTTTTTTTTTTTTGAGCTTTTAGTTTTTGGTACATAAATATAACATACAGACACAAAAGCGCCTCTTTCTCTCTCTCTCTCTTTCTCTCTCTCTCTCTCTTTCATCGAAAGTTTCTTTAAAAAAAATCAAATCATTGTTTAAGAGAAATAAATCTTTATCTTTGTTTCAGTTTTGTCAAAAGGGCATAATCAGCGAGGACTAAGTTCATAGTGTATAACATATAAGTACTTTTCTTTTTTTTTTTAAAGTCAGAACTCGTTTGAACAGAGAAAAACTTTAGCCTGAAAATAGTCTTTTATCAAAGTCTCACTAACGGTAATAGACTTTTTTTTTTTACTCTGTCTAAAGATTCGATTTATAATTGTGTCCGAAAAGTAGTTACAAATTCACAGCATTGGATAACTGTACACACACATTAGGGATACGTGGGTCTAACAATGTGTTCTCATCTAAAGTACATGGTCACCCCGGCATCTGTTACATACGTTTGTTGTGGGCTTGTGTGTTTATTGTGGTATGAAGGTGCATGTGTATATATGAATGTATGTATGAGTTGAACTCTAGTAGAACACGTTGCGTAAGTGTTACTACGGATGACAATAAAATTTGAATCAATGGTAAGACCAGGATGCAGATCAAAGAGGCGAAAAGAGAACTTAATAGACATCGAACACAATGGGTATGTCTGTGTCAGATGGAATACATATACAGGTCGATACTGCAGTCATCCTAAATCCTCGGACTTGACTCTTTCTCTCCTAATTGGCGATACTAACGTTGATTTGACCTCATTAAATTAAATTAATGTTTAATTTTATAAACTTTATTTTGTGTTATATAAATCGAACATGCGTTGTAACATGGTATAATAATATCTACATTTGCACACTAGCGCGTCAGTGCAACACCGCTTGTATTTACGTAATAAA